TGCGTGGCCCAAAATGCTCGAGCTTCGCAAAAGCGACAACTTCCAGAGTCCAGACAGGAGCAGCGTTGGAAGATTCGCGCAGGGAGGCCGACGCACGGGCGGGCCGGGGCAAAAGCGGCGCCGTCCCGGGCCGTGAGACGTCGGGACGGCGTCGCGACAAAGTAAGGATCGCAGCGAGGCAGCGCTTCTGGTGTGTCGGAAACGCGAGGCTTCGAACAAAGATGTCGCTGGACATGTTGCAAAACATCGCCTCTCTTACTCGACGCCGATCCCGCGGAGCGACAGGGCATGGTCGTCGTCGCCGTCGTCGCCGTCGTCGCACAGAAGACCAGCATCCCAGGCGAATGGAGCGTCAGAAACTGCTCGTTTGCGACCGCGAAGGGCCTCTCGCCTCTTGTCCGCCCCCCTCTCCGTATGAAGCAATACCTCTGAAGGACCGTTTGGCAGCAGCCAGGGTGCTCTTGTGGGCCCCGCGGAGGCCTCTCGGGCTCTCTTGGGCCATGTACTGCGCCTCGTGGACTGTCTTGGAGACGTCTTGGGCCCCACTTAGAATCCTCTGGGGCCGTCTTGGGCGCATCTTGGGCCGTTCTGGGGCCGTCTGGATCCATCTTGGGGCCTTTTGGGGGCCCTCTTGGAGACCCCTGGGGAGCCTTGGAGGCCTCGAACAAAACAAAAAGCGGAACTGCTGAACATGACAGTTTTCCGGACGGGGCGTGCAGATCTTGCTGGATGCAACCACCTTGGGCTTGGGGGGTCCCCTTGGAGCTCTTTCTGCATGCAGCTTGGAAGCTTCTCGGGCACCTGGGATGATTTTTTGGACCCGTCGTGAGCCGCTTGGAAGGCTTCTCGAGGGGCTGAAGACGCACTGGGGGGCCTCAGGGGCCGCTGTCGGGCCGCGTGGGTGATTTTGAGACGGTCATTGGGCCGTGTGGGGGCCATCTTGGGCCGTTGCGGGGCCGCCTTGGCGCCTTGGAGGCCCTGGGGATCCCCCAACCCGCCAGGCACCTTTCGAATTTGCTTTGAATGGGCACGTGCATGCATGTGTATGTATATGTTTACGTATACTGTATACATATACGTAAATGTGCAGCATAGACAGCGACGTACAACATGTTCATAACACTGTACATGCATATGCATAGGTATGTATGTATATGCAAGTGTAGGACAATCTCTGTATGTGCATGTGTGAATGTATATGGAGGTTATGTGTATATGTATGTGAACATATGTCTATATACGTAAATATACATGTATGTGAATATATGTATGTGTAACTGTCTTCTGTAAGTGTACATGCCTGCGTATAGGTGCATGCATGCATGCGTACATGTAAATGTGTTCGTCTATGTCTGATATCTGCTTCTCCGGTCTTCTGTCTTCTGGGCGTCCGAGACCGCTCCACGAAGCAGCCCCGCGGATCGCTCCAGGACGGGCCGAAAAGGCCTCAAGAGCCCAGGAGACCACCAAGACGACCCCCGAAAGGCCCCAAGGCGGCTCCAAGAAGGCCAAGAGACGGCCCAAGATTGCTCCGAGAGGCCCCCCCAGAGCACTTCGAATCGGGGTCAAGATCGCTCCGGGACGGGCCGCAAGGGCCTCCAGAGCCCAGGAGACCACCAAGACGACCCCCAAAAAGGCCGCAAGGCGGCTCCAAGCAGGCCAAGAGACGGCCCAAGAGTGCTCCGAGAGGCCCCCCCAGAGCACTCCGAGTCGGGGGATCCATGTCGTTCCCAGAGCCCACGACCCCCTCCCCCCCCTCCCTCTCTCCCGCCGCCCTCCCCCCCCCCCCTCCCTCTGCCCCCCCCCTCCCTCCCTGCCCACCTCGCCTCCCCCCTCCCTCCCTCTCTCTCCCTCCGCCCCGTCCCCCTTTGAAGGCCTCCTATAGGAAGGCACCAACTATACACCAACACCGATCCTGGCCAGGATCACCCTGGGCCCAGGATCGGTGTATACGCCATCCTGCCTTGCGCAAGAAGGCATATACACCGATCCTGGGCCCAGGGTGATCCTGGGCCAGGATCGGTGTTGGTGTATAGTTGGTGCCCTCCGATCCTAGATGGGGTCCGAGTAGATGGGGTCCGAGGATGGCGCCGAATCGCCGCTACATCGCCGATGCATCGGCGATGCACCGCCGACGCATCGCATCGACGTCGTCGGCAGAGCGTCGGCGGCGCCCGCGTGGAGGCAACCGGGCCACGCACATGGGCCGGCATCGCCAACGCATCCGCAATGCGGCGCGATCCTCCGACCCCATCTTTTTTTTTGGGGGGGGGGGGGGACCCCATCTACCTGGACCCCATCTGAAAGGCCTAGACCCTTCCTCCCCGTCCCCCGTCTCTCCTCGTCTCTCTCACCCTTCCTCCCCCCCCCCCTTCTCGGGGGCGTCCAAAGGGGGGCGTCCAAGAGGGAGGGGAGGCGCAACTCATGGCCGGCGGCGTGTGCGTGGCCCGGGGGGGGGATGGGAGGCGGCCGGGCACGTACTGAAACAAGAAGAGGCGCC